TTGGTAGACGCGCTGGTTGTGGACTGCTGCCAGATCGGGCATCGGCTGGTCTTCGCCCACGACAGTCGCCGATGACTGCCCCGAGGCGCCCGGATCTGTTCGTACTGCGAAAGTACTTGCTGTGGGCGGCTTTGATATCATGGTACATGGATATCGCTCGACGTCAATGGTAATGGTGGCCTCGTACTTGCTAGCATCTCCTAATGTAAGCGAGCCTCTGTAGCTCTGAACAGGGCGGGTTTCCTTGAGACGCGGTGTATGAAGTTGATCGACGGCTGTCGCAAGTGTGCCGAAGTTGCCATCGCAGTCATTTATGAAGCTTTTCAATATCGCTTCGTTCCTTGCCTAGATTGGGTCAATCATTGTCCGCTTTGGCGATCGTGTCACATACCTTTTCCGCGTTCTTGCCCTCCTCTTTGTAACCCACATCTTCGTCATCAAAATCGAGACCGAGCAACACGATCTCGAATGGAGCAGCCGGGTCCTTGATCTTCGCCGCCATCTCTGCGAGATCGCTTGTGTCCATTTGACCGCGACCGTCAGTCACAATGATCACCCTGCGATCGTACTTCAATGGGTTGCCTTTGGCACCTTGTGTCGCATTGCCAATCATGTAAACAGCTACCGCAAGTGCGGAAAGCACTATGACCATTAGCAGGAAGTAAAACTAAAGATGCATGTTACTCACGGTCGCCGCTGTCTGTCTTGCTTGGTTTGAGTTGATCTTGCAGCATCCGAATGTCGCCGAGTAGATATCTCGCACCTGTTAGTACATAAAACATAATTCGTGTCTGATAGCTTACTGCTTCAAATTTGAGAATACTTTTATATTTTCGTATCCTTCCCCTTCTTCCATGTTGCCAGCGAGATCCGTTTCATCTGTCCGACAGCCAATCACGCTCATCAGCGCGGTTTTTCTGCCTGACGCGACCTACACATCCATTAACCTTCGAGACATGACAGCGTTGAGCGGCGATTGAAGCTTGACGAGCATTGAACATACTAAATCTCCAAATGAACGTCGACTTACAGTAGTGGTAATCTTGTCCCACACATACTCCAATGCCCAATCCAGGTCGGTCTGATCGCGGCCATGTCTCTTTTCACCCATTGACCGTCCCAGATCTAGGATGTAAACTGTCGCCTCTTTACCAGCCATGATTGCGTTATAGTATGCTTCTTCTGCGCGCTTCGCGTGTGGTGACTACCTAGGTAGCGTCGCGTGCCGCTAATTTTACGACGTCAAAACACTGGAGGCCGAATGAATTATGTGCTTTGGCAGTGTTGGACGTGATGAATTAGAGAAGTCGCAATCAAAAGAAAGAGCGAAGGCGTGAGGTATTGTAGTCGTCGCATCAGACGGCACGGTGTAGCCTGTTGCGTTAGGCAAACGTGGCACGGACCATGCACTACAACGCGAGAACCCGTGACGAAGCTAGCCTCATGGAGCCCTAGAGGAAGAAACGCAGCATGGTTCCGCTGATACGTTCACGGAACTCTTACAATGTTCAGATAGAAGTTTGTACTGCGATACATTCTGAGCGGTAGTATAGCTGGTTCCATATAGTCTGCTTTCAGTTGTGTTGTTAACAAGACATCGATACATGCAAATCCAAATGGCATATGCAGTAAGAAGGATTTCTTAGAACGATCTGATCTACATGCATCCACCAAACAATTTCATACAATCTCTTCCTGCATGTGAAGTCTATCCAAACCTCATAGTAAGAGCCTCAGGCTTACTCCCCATAACCTCTTCAATCTCCTCCAGATTCTCCTTTGTCAACTTGCGATAAACATCAACCGCCTTGACCGTCTGATAAATCTGCTCCGGCCGCGACGCACCCGTGATAGCACTCGACACGTTCTTGTTAGACAGCACCCACGCCATAGACAGCGTCGCAACGTCAGTATCAAGCTTCTTCGCAACCTCCATGAGCTTCTTGATCTTGCCTTGTTGCTCGTTCCACGCATCGCTGCCAACGCCTTTCATGACGGACTGAATGTATGGGTCGTCTGAGACGCGGAGACGCGAATCTTCTGGCACGCCGTCGACGTATTTCCCTGTGAGGAGACCGCCTTGAAGCGGAGAGAAGATGGTGAGACCGAGACCGCGGCGGGTGTAGAGGCCCGCGTCTTTGAACTCTTGGTCTACCTTCTGAGGGCGGAGCAGTGAGTAGCCGGGTTGTTCGACAATGGGGCCGATGAGTCCGAGACGGTCGGCTACGGCCCATGCTTCCTCGATCTCGGACGCGAGCCACTCAGATGTGCCCCAGTAGAAGGTTTTGCCTGCGTTGATGAGATAGTTGAAGGCGCGTACTGTTTCTTCGATTGGTGTGTAGCGATCTGGGCGATGTGCGTAGAGGATGTCGACGTAGCTTAGTTGTAGTCGTTCGAGCGAGGCTTCGGTTGCTTCGATAAGATGCTTCCGCGATAGCCCAAGGTTGTTGATCTTGTTGCGTGGCGAGGGGAGCGCAGAGTTGTGAGTACCCCAGTAGATCTACGCCAGTCAATTTAGGTATATGGTCTAACTTCACGCCCGCATGTCATACCTTGGTGGAGACGACGATATCATTCCTGTTCCAGTTGAAGTGCTTGATAGCGCGACCCATGACCTTCTCAGACTCTCCCTTTGCATATCCTTCAGCGCAATCGAAGAAGTTGATACTGCAGAGGAACAGATACAAAGTCAGTGTACATCACACACGTGTATCGTATGCGTTGACTTACCCAGCATCAAATGCTGCTTTGAGACAAGCGGAAGTGTTGTCATCGCCGACATGACCGCCGTATGTGAGCCAACCACCGAGGGAAATGGCAGAGATTTGCAGTCCACTCTTGCCCATGAAGCGGTACTCCATCTCGGGTAGATCTTTGGGTGCTTCGGATTGAGACATGTTGCAGAGTGGAAGTTTGAGAAATAGTTGCTCCACTGTCAAAAGGGAATACGTCTGATTTATATTGCGATAGCATCATAGTCTCCAACTACCGTCTGTAAGCAAGCCACCAACGATACCGCACGATACAGTGCAGGATGATCTGCTGAATGTGGTTACTTGCTCTAAACAACCATCCAAGGTGGGGCTACTCGCTGCAAGATACCCCGCACAGAGGGCACAAGGGCATAGGCGGCGCGGGAATACCAACTTCGTCCCGCCTGTCGTCATCACTACGGAAGACCACTTTAGGCGGTGGGAAGGAGTATTGGAGGGGTGTACAGATAGCAGAGAAGACTGCGCTTACAAAAAATGAAGGCACGGGGTCATGCGACCGAGCATGTACGGTAGAATGCCGTGCAGATATTCTGGAAACCATCGACCGGCATGCCCTCTTCTACATGCAACACACTTCACCAGATACCAGGGACCATTCTCTTCCGCGGACCTACCTTGGCGGCACCGAATTTCTCCACGTACCACTCCTTTGTGCCGACGGCCGTTACTCCTAGGTTTGTAGCGACAAATATAGTCGCGCAGACCAGTGTCCCATTGACCCAGCTGCCCTCAGGAGCTGCTATGAGCGACAATAACGCGTAGATGACGACCTCGCAGGTATAGTGCGGGCAGAGTAGGTTCGGGAATACAGTATGCGAGGGAAGCTGGTAGCCGTTGCTCTCGGTGCGGAGGCGGTAGAGGTAGCTGTGGTAGGAGTGTTGCAGCATCTGCGCGGTGACAACTCCCGGCACGAATGCCCAGTTACCGGCGGCATTGCTAGGTGTCTCAACCCAGACGGCCATGTTTATCGTGATGTAGAAGAGAAGTCCTAGAATCCAGTGTGCGAACCACATCCGGCTTTTGCTCGTCGAAGTGTATGCGTACGACTCGAGCATCCGTCGCAGGCCCTGAAGCAGCAGGAGCGCCCAGACAATCTGCTGCTGCCTGCCAGCTTCCCACACGTGCAGTCTCCATGCCCAGAACAGCGAGCAGAGCACGGACGTGATGTAGAAGTGGGTGAAGTAGTTGTGGGGCACTTGTAGCGACGCAGCGTAGTCGAGTGTACGAGTGAGAACCGACTGCTGCTGAGCGGGTGGCTCCTTCCTCCCGCTCACGCCGGTGACGCGGGAGCCATAAGCAAGAAAGCGCGAGCGCAGGACAGGAACAGCCTGAATGACGAGGATCTAGTAAGCCGGACTGTTAGTGAGGTTGCATGTGGAGGTGAATGGTGCCGCGATACAAGAAGAGACGCAGCGAGGTAGAAGATGCGCAGCAGAGCCACGGGGTTCAGGTCCTCGACGCGGCAGCCTATAGCTGAGAGCGAACGCGATAGCGAGGCCATGTCGGGAGTATTGAAAAGTGAACGCGTAGGGGGCTGTGACGGCAGAATGATGAAGCCCTGACTGGTGCTGACCGCTTATTCGACGGGCGAGTCACGTGTCGCCCAAGCCAATCTCTCCGTGGTTCTCGCGACCAAACAATCTGGCCCGCAGGAGATGATGAGGGCTAAATAACGCGGCAAAGGCCGAGTTAGCGGCGGTTTGGAACCTTGGGAGTCCTGTTTCGGCTGGGATGGCGAGCCACGAGGAACACGGGACCAGCAGCTCGCAGCGCTCCCTATGAGTGGAAGAGGCCGACTGACAGACAGCGAGCCACGCAGCAGCAAACGTCACGGCCACACGGCGCGGTAATCGTGATGTCGCGTCGCTTGTTGTTCTCCGTTCACGATAGACGATGGCTTGATAGCAGCACAAAGGCGAGTGCAGGGTTGCCTTGACGATCCATGCCCCCCATGGCTGGCGCAGGCCGGTGAATGGTGGAGCGCTGCCTGCTACTGGCAAGCCTCTCAGCTCTTCTCCGTGTCGCTCCTCCTCCACTACACCTCACAACGCGCCTTCATCACCCACCCCCGACCGCGCCCTCCATCGCAGCCCGTCGAGCAGCCCAGCGCCCTGTTGTTGTTGCCGCCCGCGCCCACCCTCCTGCAGAGGCCTCCGTTGTGCTCCTTCCGTCCCTTGCTCTGCAAGCCAGCATGAGGCAGGAACTCGAGTGTCCTGTCCCAGCGTAATGACCAGTAATGCCGATCCGGTCTTAAACGCACCCTCTGCCCCCAAGTCCTTCCACCACGACCGCCCGCACAGCCCGCCGTCGCCTCGCCCGGCACCCAAGACGGCCGCGTTTCCGTCCCAACATGCTCACGATGAAGACCAGGACGCTGAAGGCGAGTCCGAGGCCGAGACGGTCGTCCTGTCACGGGACGAACACCCCGAAGAAAACAAGATGATCAAGACAGAGCGCGTCGAAGACGACGACGACGATGCATCGCGGCTGCGCTCCATCAAGGAAGAGTCACGGGCGCATTCAGCCCAGCCCAACGGCCGCCGTCGGTCGAGCAACGGCAATCACGTCAAGGTCAATGGCGCCAAACACGCCTCGGAGCGCGATGCGAAGAGCCCCGTTCCTACTTCACCCAGCAGCCGCACGGCCTCGCGAAACACCAAGGACACCAGTCCAAACGACTCGGCCAAATCGCCAGCCCGATCCGCCCTCTCTCCCACACAAGCTACTACTCGCGGCCGCAGCGCGTCGACTGTCGAGAACCGCAAGCGCAAGCAGCGCGATCAATCCTTCCCCAAGACCTTCGAGCCACCGCGACAAAAAGCTAGGACCGAGGGCTTGAAGGACGCGCGCCCGCCCCATTCGCCTGGCACGCCAGGTTTTGGCCGCCCGCACAAGCGTTCGCAGTCAACACAGTCCGCCGTCACGGGTATAGCAGGCCGCAAGCGCCGCGAGGTAACCAATCTCGCTCTGTCGACAGAAGAGCATTGGTCAGGATCGAGTTCAGATCATTCAACATCACCGCAGCCCACGTCTGCGCCGCACCTCCAACACGCCCGGGTGAAGCGCTCCACCAACCGTGCGCTGACCTCGCCTGCACGCACTATGCCCCAACGGAAGGTCGACAGATTTGGCGCAACGCGTCTTGCTCGAGAAAGCGAAAGAGGCGATCTGGATGCAGTCAAGGAAGCCTTCGAAGACGCGCCCGACGAACTGAATCAGCCCGACTACGCCGGCATCGCTCCATTACAAAAAGCCTCGCTGCACGGTTGGGCGCCTGTCGTTCGATACCTGATCAGCAAGGGCTGCCGAACAGACTGTGAAAGCCACGATCGAGACACTCCTCTCATCGATGCGGTAGAGAACTCGCACTTGGATGTCGTTAAACTGCTACTCAACGAGGGTCAGGTCAATCCACATCACTCCAACAAGAAAGGTCAGCGTGCGATTGATGTTCTGGACCCGGAAGATGACGACGCAGAGGAGATTGAGAAGGAGCTTAGAGAAGCGATGAGAAGGCGGGCAGACACGTCCAACAACGACCCCGAACGCACCCAGAAGCAGGCCAAGACCGCATCACGATTATTGTACAACGAGTTCAACGTGGAAACATTGATCGAGAAGGCTGGCGATGGCGACATCCTTGCAGTAGGAGAGCTGATCAATAGCAACATCAAACCGAACATTACCTGTGGCGTTGCAGCAGCAAGAGGTGGACACTACGACATCCTCAGTATACTCCTCGCGAGTGGTCTCAAGGCTGATCCCGACCCGTCCAAGCATCCAGAAACGCCCATGACAGTTGCCATCGGACGAGGATACCTCAAGATCATACAACTACTTCTCGAGCAAGACAACTTCAATCCCACTCGCCGAAACAAAGACAATAAGACGTATTACGAGATTTCTGAGGAACGGCATGGTCCCAAGTGGGAAGAAGAGAGGGATATGCTGAAGCGCGCCTGCGAGGAATATCAAACGACACACCGGAGCCCGCGGAGAGTCAAGAAAGAAGCTCCAAACGCCCCGGCGAACCGCATGAAGAGAAAGACGTCGCCGCGAAGAGAACGGTCGTCCTCCCCACGTCCTAATGCAAAACGCGCGCAGCTGGTAAAGTCGACGACCGAGCCTGCTGCACCACAAAAATCTCGACGACTCATGTCCGGAAAGGAAAAGGCGACCAGAGAAGACCAAAGAAGAAAGCGCGTTGTAGACGATGATTCATCAGAAGAGGAGAGCGAAGAAGACGTACGGCCGCCCATCCGGAAGGCCAAGCAGCGTTCTTATAGCGAAGGCGAAGAAGCGAAGCCTGTCAAGAAGGTTGTGAAAGCACGATCAGATGACAATGAATCCAAACGACCGGACCGAGCACACTCAGACGAGAGCGACGAGGACCATGGTACTAAGCAGCCAGTCAAGATTCGGACAAAACCAGGCAGACCACTCAGCGCCAAACCGACACCCGAGATCGATTCTCCGGACGAACGCAAGGTTGTCAAGAATAAGATCAAATACAAGACCGTTGAAGACAAGATTAGGAAAAGAAAGATGTCGGATGCATCAACAGACGATGTCAGCGTGAAGAGGACGCCCACAGCATCTGCCAAATCTACGCCCGTACCGCCTGAAAGGATAGCAACTCCAGAAGTTGAGCGCGCACGTCGTCAAGAGGAACACAAGCTACAGGCAGAAGCGAAACGCAAAGCCGCCGAAGTTGCAGCTGAGGCCGAGGCGAAGCAGAAGGAAGCGGAGGAGGCGGCTCGCAAAGCTGAAGAGATCGAGCAAGCGAAGAAGAAGGCCGAAGCGGAAGCAGAGACACAGCGTCAAGCAGCAGAAGCAGAAGCAGCACGAATACGAGAGGAACAGGAAACTCAACGCCGAGCAGACCAGGAAGCGAAACGCCAGAAGGATCTGCTCGAACGTCAAGACCGGATATCCAGGCTCCCCCGAGCTTTGAGACGCGCCTGCGAATTAGGCACCAATCGACCGCTTCATTTCGCAGGGGAGCAACTTGGTGTATCTGCTATTTTCCTACCTTTGTTCTTGGCAAATGCTGAGGACCTCGGTGACTCGCAAGCCATCCCAAATCGGAAGTACATCTGTTCGTTCCAGGCTGTCGGCATACTTGGTCTTCCCGAACTCGATCTAGCGCATCTCGACGCTCCTTACTCTGAATGGTCTCGCATTCCCGTGAGCCGCGCACAACGAAATGCCATACTTCGCCAATATGATATTGCGCTGTTAGCCCAGGACACCAGATTCCCAATGGAAGGCTCGCCGGAGTTTGACTACGCCAAGATCCAGGACAGCATCAAGGAAGCTAAGCATCAGTTCTCTGCTATGGAGGGCCTGTACTGGGTGGAAGAGTCGCTGCTTTACGCTGAAGTCGAGAAGATTGAAACCCTACGGCCGCTGCTCTGCCATATGCGCTCCGATTGCAAAAGAAGACGTATCCATCTAGTAGATAGCAGTGACGAGGAGCCAGAGAAGAAGCCGAAACCCAAGAAAAGCTTCATGGACATGGTGCGAGAGCACAACGGCATCAATGGCACAGCGCCTCGCGCAATCGTCAACGGCAATGGATGAAGTAGCAAGGATACGGGGACCCTGATTGTATACTTATTCGGATGAGGACCATCCCACATTGCCGCGCCGTGCCGTACAATGTTGTACGAAGAACAAGAGCGCCTGGGGGAAGCTACAGGAAACTACGCCTGTCAATATGTTATGTAGTGTCCAGCTCCGCAGCGAGCAACTGGCCGGGGGGTATAGCGAGTTCAGCAACTCCATGAATGAGGACTGATGTGCACAATTACGAGATAAATTCAAACCATTGACGAAGGAACTGTATAATCTTATCCACTACATCATGCTTTCGCTCTCGTATCTTGCCAGGTTAATCCTTGTTGCCTCAGGCTTCACCCCACTTCGGTGCATCTGGCCGCCCCAGTGGCCCCGCATCAGAGCTCCAAGCTCCGGTGCACTTTCACGAATCCAAGTTCCTCACGCGCATAACTTTACTATACTGCAAATAACTCCAGGTGATAGGTCTGGAACTACACTCTACCAACTACCGATCCCAGCCTCCGACAGTAACTAATTCTCGTCCCGATTGCGACCTTACCAGCCACAATAGCCGCATCCGCGAAGCCTCCCACCTGATACACGCTCACGTCTACATCCTACTCTACACTCCCACGGCAGAATGGCACCCAAAAACAAAGGCAAAGGCCAAGCCAAAGACGACAGCGGTAGCAAATCTGAAGGTGGCGGTGGAGGAAAAGGCAAACTCAAGCCCGCAACCTCGATAAACGTGCGACACATCCTCTGCGAAAAGCACTCGAAAAAGGAAGAAGCTCTCGAGAAGCTGCGCAACGGCGCGAAATTCGACGAGGTAGCCAGGGAAATGAGTGAGGATAAGGCGCGTCAAGGGGGCAGTCTGGGCTGGAAGGTTAGAGGGAGTCTCATGCAGGATTTCGAGAAGGTGGCGTATGAGTTGGAGCCGAGTACGACGGCGAGTCCGAAGATTGGAGAGGTTAAGACGAGTGAGGGGTATCATATTGTTATGGTTGAGGGGAGGAAGTGAGAAAATTGGGGTTGGTGTCAGGGTTGGTGTCGAGAGGTCATGGATATGCTGGACAGGCTTGTGGAGGCTTATACTTGATACCCCAAAAATGAGAAACGATTCGATATTCCAAGGCCTATGGAACTCAACTCCAGGGTGAGCTCAGGGAAATACGAACGGCTTATTTGGTGCTCAGGCTTTGTTGCAAAATAATTGTACCCATTCGCTGGCGCTTTTGAAGAATGCCTTCCGACTAGAGACTTGTCTATGTTTTATGCAACAACCGTCTGCATCCTACGAACCTCTTCTTGGCCTACTATGCAAATGCCGAATGTAAGTGTTATCACAGGCAATACTCGCTATGCAAACAACTGCACAAGCTAAGTTGTGTTGGTATTTTCGCCTCATTCCATAATCCTCGCAACGGCCATTCTTCGCCGCGAATTGGAGCGGCTGCACACAAAGAATAGTGGGAATGCGGAATCGTCATATTTATACTTGAGGTACTTGCGGTGTAATCTTCCATCGCGAAACCGTCAAGTGAGGCGAGACAAGACACGTCGGTGGCTCTCGGCCACCGTCAAGCAGCTCGGGAGCGCTGCGCTAGCGCCCTCTTTATCGCAGTGAAACCGCTATCTCGGTGATCAGCTGGTGCACGGGAGCGCTCCAGTATCACGTGCGGCTGAACCATGGCGTCATCATCTTGAGCAATAGCCTCTTTGGAGGCAGTCATTGAGTGGGTAAAGGCAGTAGTAATCGGGCGAATTCTTGCGGCTCCTCACGGCTGACGACGTGTCTGGAAGCCTTGTGTGGTAGCGAACCACTCGGCCACTCGAAGTACAAGAATCAGCCGATCCGGAGCTCAAATACGAGGAAAAGCATCAAGAAGTGCCTTGACAGATAATTGAGTTGGCCGTCGGACCATCAGTTCATAAGAAAAGTGATCCCAGGCGCCAATATCAGCCTTTCGCCCTCTGCGACGCGAGCACTGGTAATCCGGTGTACCTGCGATAGAGTTGGCGCGCCCCCGGCGTCCACTAACGCTGCACTGACCCCACTCACTAGGCAGCTACTACCTACACCTCCAGCTCCGCCGCCGTCTCACCTGCTCCACCTCCGCCATCAACTCTCCATCCACCACCTCGACAGCGACAACTCTCTAGTTGCTGCACCTCTTTGTCTCAATACAGCGGCGGCCAGCTAGCTGCAGTCGCTCTGACTATTACTCCTCCCCCATCGCCAGCCTCACTCGCCCATCATGGCGGCGACTAACAACGTCCCCGTGACTCTGGACACGCCCATCGTCGTCAAGGTCCTGTTCCGCGGCCAGACGAAGAAGTTCAAGCTGCCGTTGAAGGATCTCGGAGCTCACGTGTTGCCCGACAAGGTTCGTGACATTCTATAACCCGAGGTTGTCACGTCAAGGCGATCGGATCGGTCGCTCGGACGTACGATCAAACACGCTCGGGAATCACAGTGCTGACTTGATATGTGATGTTTAGCTCCGAAGTGTTCTTCAGCTTGAATCCGGCGAGCAGGTCGTCTTTGAGCGCTATTCCGACTCAGCCGCCTCATATGTCACCCTTGACGCGGACAAGCCCCAAGTCTACAAGACGCTCTTCCGCGCCGCAAAGGCGAAGCTCAAGTTGCGTCTGAGGGCCACCGTCCCCGGCGAAGAGCCTGTGGCTGCGCCCGCACCTACACCCGCGCCAAACCATGTGGTCCGACACTACCAGCCCACTGCCCACCCCGTCAGCACCGAGACTCTCACTCCACTGGGCGGCGCTCCCGTCTCTCCGGTCATTGCCCGCTCGCCAGAAATCAAGCCCACCGAAAGCACCAGCCCTGTATCGCCACCAACGACGGTAGATGCTGACGGCGAGGCTCCCGTACCGCAGGCCTTCACCGCTCGTCAGAGTAAGCAGCAATTCCACATGTCCATGTCGCGCGATCATCGGCTAACACACTATACAGGCTTCTTCAACAACCTCGCAACTGCGAACTACAACTCAGGTCTCGCATTCCGCCCCAAGCCGAGCAACGCGTGCACTTCGTGGGTCGTATACTGCAACAACTGCAACGAGCCCATGGAGGACGAGCACTTCCACTGCAGTGTATGCGACGGTGGTGATTACGATCTCTGCCCGGCCTGCGTAGACAACGGCATCCACTGCCCCGGAAGCGGCCACTGGATGGTCAAGCGTTTCGTCAAGAACGGCAGCGTCGTCAACAGCACCACCCAGCGCATCGCACCTAAGGTCAAGGCCGAGGCCGAGGAGCCCCAACAACAGGAGATCCCAGGTGCCTTTACCGATGAGAAGCAGTCCGTCACATACGAAGAGGAGCCAACCCGCACCTGCAACTGCTGCGTCAAGGTCCTCCCCGAGAAGGAATTCGTTACCTGTGTTCCTTGCGAAGACTACGACCTCTGCCTCACTTGCCATGTTAGCAACAAGCACGGTCACCACCCTGGCCACACCTTCAAGCCTGCAACGTCCGAGACCGTTCTGCCAACCCTGGCCGATTTCTTGTGCAACTCTGGCAGGAACGTCCGCCACAACGCCGTCTGCGATGGCTGCGACAAGTTCATCTACGGTGTCCGCCACAAGTGCTTGAACTGCCCAGACTGGGACTACTGCTCTGACTGCCTCAAGAACGCCAAGTTCATCCACCCCCGTCATCGCTTTGTTCCCATCTACGAGCCTTTGGCTGAGCCTCTGAACAGCGCAAACCGCCACTACGGTATCTACTGTGACGGTCCCCTCTGCAAGGACAAGGAAAACCTGTCATACATTGACGGCGTCCGCTACAAGTGTGCTGTTTGCCACGACACCGACTTCTGCCAGAACTGCGAGGCCCATCCCAGCAACAAGCACAACCACACTCACCCGCTCATCAAGTTCCAGACTCCTGTGCGCAGCGTTAGCGTTACTACACTCAACGACGACAAGCAGCGCAAGTCGATGGCTAGACTCGGTGACCGCATATGCGATAGGCGATCTACCTCAACCGAGACTGCCCCAGTCGCTCCTTCCACCAATGCTGCGACCCAAGTCCAGACCATTGTCGACGTGAAGCCATCCGCGGAGCCTCAGGCCAAGAAGGAGAAGATTGCTATTCGCGACCTTCTCGTCGACTCCGTTGAGCCGGTGCAAGAGAAGCCTGCCGTACCTGTTCAGGTCAAGGCGCCAGTCAAGACCGAGGCTATTCCCATTCCTAGGTCAGAGACTGCTACCGAGGGCCTCGACGCACACTTCATTCGGGACACCATTATTGATGGCTCCAAGATCTGTGCAGGCCACCAGTTCGTTCAGGTCTGGACTCTTCGCAACCCTGGCCCCAACGCTTGGCCACGAGGCTGCAGCGTCCGACACGTTGGTGGTGACAACATGCTCAACATCGACAACACTCGTCCTCTGAGCCACGTTGAGCTTGCTGAAGCTAGCGAGAGCAACGTGCTCGGCCACACTGTCGAGGCCGGCGAGGAAGCTCAGTTCCGTGTTCTGATGAAGGCACCCCAGCGCGAGGGCACTGCCATCTCCTACTGGCGCCTGAAGACCCCCGAGGGTATGCCCTTCGGCCATCGCCTGTGGTGTGACATTGCCGTCGTTGCCGTGCCCTCGCCTGTCGCTGCTCAGCCAGCTATCCCCATGCCAGTCCAGGTTCCTACTCCCGCATCCGGCTCAGCCACCACGTTCGAGGTGGCTCCTAGGTCGAACCCTCTGTACGACCGCCTCCTACAGGCCAGGGCTGAGCGCATGAAGCAAATGCAACACACTCAGCAACAACAACTGCAGAAGATGAAGGATGCACACCACTCTCTGCAGCAACAGCTGGATCAGCAGAAGATGGAGCGTGTTCAGCGTGTACGCAAGGCTGCCATGGAGCGTCTTATGGAGGGCCGCCGCAAGGTGCACGAGGAGGCGAACCGTCGCAAGGAACACGAGGCTGCTCTTGCTACTATCAAGCAGGAGCCTGTTGCTTCTCCCAAGGTGGAGGCCAAGGTCGAAGAGCCAGTTGCCGAACTCCCAGTCGAGGAGAAGCAGTCTGCATCTGAGCCCATCGCTTCCGGCATGATCTTCCCTCAGCTTGACAAGGAGTCTCCCGAGTCCAGCACTTACGAGTCATCTACCACAGCTCAGCCTGCCTCCCCATCTGAGAAGAGTACCGTTGCACGCACTGTCACCGTGGCTTCAGATGACGAGTTCTTCGAGGATGCTGAGAGTGTCGCCCTTATGTCCGATGATGGCTTCATGACCGATGAGGAGTACGACATCCTCGATGCCAGCGATGAAGAGATGCAGTAGGTGGTTTGATAGGCGTCAGCGAAAGCTGCCATATTTCGTGAGCACAAAGGTAGGCAAAGTGTTCCTGGTTGGTGTCTAAAGCGTTCGAATTTCTGGGTACTGGGGGCGTCAAAAGGAATGGCCTGCGAGATATCGCGATCACACAACATTCCCTACACAGAGAAGGCGCTGGAGCGTGCTTCGATACACCTCGACGGGACATGTGAGTAGGGTGCTTCATTGCCTCTGGCTCGGTTACGGCTCTCCTACTTGGCTCAATTTGATCTTTCCTTTCATGTCTTCTATATGTGTGGTAAATCAATGGTAGTTTTCTTGAATACGCTTCTTGTAACAATGTGACGAATGCAAAGTCCGATTGACAAGCAACACACGCGCTATATCTTGATCGTTTGCGGGCGGAGCATGACTAAGCCAGGGTCTTCTAGCGCGGCCATGCGAGCGAAAAGTGCCCCAGAAAAAAGTTCGAGCCGCAAAGTATCGATACGCAACACCACCCACGCTACAATGTCGTCAGATACAGAGATGTCCTCGGCGGAAGAGATTGCCATTGTCTCCAAGAAGGAGCGTCGCGACAAGAAGGAGAAAAAGGACAAAAAGGAAAAGAAAGAAAAGAAGCGCGCGAGGGCCGAGTCGAAGGCTGAAGCTGCAGAGTCCGATAGCGAGGACGCAGCAGAGACACCCGCAAAGAAGCGCAAGCGCGAAGCATTGCCTGACGAACTCGAGATCGATGTCAACCTCCCCGAACCCGCCTCCAAGAAAGCCGCCCGTAAAGCGAAGAAAGCCAAGCTGAACCCGACGCCCGCCGCCGATACAGACGGAGAAGCATCGGCCGCGAAGACGGATGGGAAGACGGACGCAAAGTCAGCTGAAGACAGGGAGAATGCTGCGAAGCGCTCGGAATACGGTGTATGGATCGGCAACTTGCCATGGTCTGCCACCAAGGAGTCGCTACGAAAGTTCTTGACGGACAATACTGAAATCCCCGACGACCAAATCACACGCATTCACATGCCCCCTCCCACGAGGCCGCCGCCCCCGAGTTGGACTACAAAGCCAATGAACAAGGGTTTCGCATACGTCGACTTCTCTACTGAGCTGTCAATGTACTCGGCGATTGCCTTGACGGAGATGAAGATGGATAACCGCGCGTTGCTGATCAAGAATGCAAAGAGCTTCGACGGGCGCCCAGATAAGCCCAAGACGGAAGAGACTCAGGATAACGGACGTGGAGCCAAGGATGCGAAACCGAAGAACCCTCCCAACAAGCGCGTGTTCGTCGGAAACCTCTCCTTCGACGTTACCCAGGACGATCTCAAGAACCACTACGCACCATGCGGAAGAATTGATAACATACACATGGCAACGTTTGAAGATTCTGGCAAATGCAAGGGCTTTGCCTGGGTCACTTTCAGGGATGTGGAAGCTGCAACAGCAGCGGTTAAGGGTTTTGTTTTCAAAGACCCGTCGGCGTTCAAGAACAAGAAGGACAGGGACGAGAGTGATAGCGAGGTCGACACCAGCAAACCCGTCAAGCAAAGGAAATGGCTAGTCAACAAGCTCATGGGGAGAGAATTGCGTCGTGAGTTCGCTGAAGACAATCATACGAGGTACCACAAGCGATTTGGCCATGAGAAGGAGGGTGCGGATGGAGAGAATGCAGGTCGCGAGAGGGGCTTTGGCAGGGGAGGAGGAGGCCAAAGAGGAGGCAGGCAAGACTTTGGAGAGAGCAATGGCGGACGGGGTGGCAAGCGAAAGGTTGACCCGAGGAATATCAAGAGTGGTGCTGCTCATATGAGTACTCAAAGGGCCAGTCAAGCGATTGTTGAGTCGCAGGGCAAGAAGACTACTTTTGATTGAGCATAGACACTGTAGTTGGGAAGGAATACATAGAAAGGGCTGTGAGCAAGAGCTGGTCGTGGTTGACCGCATGTTCCTGCTCCGCATTGTGAGACCGGCAGGTGGTTGGCGCATGGCTACAGTTGTCATCACTCACTTTCAAATCCTCTCCTCGTTCCTCAAAACAATCCTAATACTATTGCTACGCCCTGAAAGCGAATTATCTTAACCAACCTATATACAACGTCCTCACCATCTATTTTCGTTTCTCCTACTTCACCCCAACCTCTAGAACACTCACCTACATACCTCTTTGCATCCCAAGAATGTCAAACCTAAAACGCATATCCATCCTCCCCAATCCCACCTGCGAGCGCGCAGGCCTAAAATCCTACGCCTCCCTCCTCCGCAAATACGACTTCGCGCCCACCACCGAAGGGCCCTTCCAAGTCCTCGACGTCGCCACGAAATCCGTAAAGAACCTATTTAAACCCGCGGCCAAGAAAGAAACCAAACCGGTTCTGCGCAAGATTGAAGAGGAGGGCAAACCGGGCGAGGTCAAAGCGGAAGACCAGCAGAATGATGCGTTGTATATTTGTCCTGTGGAGATTGGAACGCCGCCGCAGGTGATGAATTTGCATTTTGATACGGGGAGCAGTGATCTTTGGGTACGTCATTCTTCGTCTTTTCTAGGTTTGGAGGTGAGAAGGCGTGGCTGATACGTTTGTCATGTAGTTATAGTCTACCCTGCTGGATCCTGCGACGAAGAAGGGCGCGGTGAATGGAAAGACGAAACATAACGTTTTTGATGCGAAGGCAAGTGAGACGTTCAAGAAGGTTGAGGGTGCGAGTTGGAGGATCAGGTATGGGGATGGTGAGTTCACTCTCTTCTCCTGCACTTGCTCATTCATCCAGCCTTACAGCCATGACTGGCAGATGTTGGAGACCTCTTATCTGACTTTGAAATACAGGCTCCACGGCATCCGGCATCGTCGGCACAGACAACGTGACTCTCGGCGGCCTATGCATCGAGAACCAAGCGATTGAACTCGCCAACAAACTCAGTCCACAATTCACTTCCGGCGCAGGAGACGGGCTATTAGGTCTAGGCTTCGGACACATCAATACTGTCAAGCCGAAGAAAGTGGCTACGCCTGTTGAATCGGTCAGTCCTCTTCCCTATTTTCACCAACTCTCGGTTGTTTAGCCTTTCCATCAATACTGAATTCTGAACCCACGAACCACTAACACCCTCCACCCAGATGATCTCCCAATCCGACATCCCCACCTCCAGCGAACTCTTCACCTGCTACCTCGGCTCCTGGCGCGACACCTCCGACCTCGACGCCGGAGAATCCTTCTACACATTCGGCTACATCGACGAGACCGTCCTCTCCCGCTGCGGCGTCTCAGAACCCCACTACGTCCCCATCGACTCTTCACGCGGGTTCTAGCAGTTCCCCTCGCCCACCGCCGTGCTAAACGGCGAAACCATTCAACGACCACCTGCAAACACGGCGATTGCTGATACAGGAACTACACTGGCGTTGCTGGATGACGCGCTCTGCGAGAAGATATACAGTACCATTCCTGGTGCGGTGTTTGATAAAGCGCATCAGGGGTGGGTTTTTCCCCTAGGGACTAAAGTCACGGATTTACCTACGCTGGCCCTGGCGGTCGGTGACAAGGTGTTTGAAGTCCAAAAGGAAGATTTTGGGTTCGCGAAATGTGGGGGTGGGATGCAGTATGGGGGGATTCAGTCGAGGGGCAAGAGCGATTTTGATATTCTGGGTGATACGTGGTTGAAGGGGGTTTATGCGGTTTTTGATCAGGGGAGGAAGAGGTTTGGGGTTGTGCAGAGGGTGGAGGGGGTGCAGAATCTGGAGGCGCCGAAGTAGGGGGTGGATTGGGGGGTTGGGGGGTTGTTTAGTCTTGTGGCTTTAGATTGTAGTGGATGGTAGGTGGTATCGATTGTTCTGATTCTTGATTGAACTCAACTATCCCATATCATCATACACCGTGTTTGACATGCGACCTACGGCGCAGCAGCGTTCGCGGCCAACCACTGCCCAAACGCCGCGGCATTCCTCGTCTGCATGAACACAGTGCCCGGTCCCGTGAATTTGCAGACAAGGCCCTCACCCGCCGTCATGTTACTGATGATACCACCACTAGCAACACGTTCGAGGACGTATTTACAGTTCCATGCAACGAGGTGACCGTTGTCGATGATGTATTTCTCGTTGGCAGCAAGCTGGAGGAATCAATAACGTTAGCACTTCGTTCAGCTGGCATGGAGATGGATGAATGGAAACTTACATCCTTCCTGATAATCGCGCCAAAACTCGTCACCCAAAGCACACCCGTCCCACTAATCTTGTACACGAACAGTCCCTCACCACTGAACATGGCTTTGCCAATCCCTTGACTCTTATACTCCGTCACAATACCTTGTGTACAAGCCAGGAACGCGTCGCGGCCCACCGACCATGTCTCCTTTCCACCAAGCTTGATGATTGTGATGTCGCCGATGGAGGGAGGGGCGAGAAGAAGTTCACCGGGACCCGTGTATGTGGATTTGGACATGTCGCCGCCCATGAGGGCTTTCTTCAGGGAGAACTTCAGGTTGCCTTTTAGCGTCATGGTGTGGGACATTGCTATCATTGCGCCTGGGAGTTGTGTTAGTCATTCGTTCTTTGCATCTTTCGCTCCCTATAGTAGCGAAGAATGGATCGTGTGTTGGAAGACTCACCAGGTTTAGCAGTAAAAGGACATCCGATGGCTAACTGCACTGTGAGAATGGAGTTTGTGTCCCTGTGGCTCACGCGGTAACTTCCTCCATTGAAGGTTCCCACGTCGTCTGCTGAGGCACTTGCGGGCGATGTGTGTGCTGCCGCGCCCGCGCCTACGTATTGCGGCTGCTGGGGTATGCTCTGCTGGCTCATCTGCGACTGATGGCCCATGCCTGGATGGCCAGTCTTCTCAGCAGGGTATCCTGACGGAGTCGCACTTGGACTTCCACCCGGAAATCCACCAAAGCCGGGGCTCATCGGTTGCTGTGGCTGTTGTTGTGGCGGCTGTTGCTGCTGGAAAGGCGGGGGCGGCGATTGCGCTTGGCCTGGGGGCTGGAAGTGCTGTTGCTCAGGTGGCGGCGCATATTGCTGTTGCTCAGGCGGAGGCGCATAGTGTTGTTGTGGAGCGGCATTTCCACCTGGCGGAGGTGGGTAGTGTTGCTGCTGCTGTTGGTGTGCGGGAGGGGATGTGGGTGGTGGAGGGTAGGACTGGCCGCCTGGCGGAGGCGCATAGTACTGCTGCTGGCCCTGTTGGTCTGGTATATGTTAGAGGGCTGTTCAAGAGGAGCGGTGTTGTAGTATTGGAAGGCTGGAGAAGGGGCGTTCGGTATATGACAGGAGGAAAGCAAATGGTGTAGATGTACCTGGCGGTGCTACTTCTCGTCAGTTTACTTCCACATACACTGCGACACGCGACTCACGAGGGTAGTAGTTCCCGCCTGGTGGTGGAGTTCCCTGATATCCCGACATATTCAAGCTTGCGATCCTAAGGCGACGAGTTGACGCGACTGCAGTTGGGTCTCAGAGAACAAGGTAAGGGGATGTTAGCAGCAACCACACGCGCAATGTAGGAGAGAGGAGAGGAGCGGAGAAGGGATTAGATTAGTCTACGGAAGCATCAGCACCATAAGCAGTATAGACGTTTTAACCGCGCGCCCCGTTGGTGTCTCCTTGGTCAAGCTGCTCAGCCTCCAGCGCGCAGCTGCTGGCTAGCGGGGTCTCTCGAGCCGCCGAATCAGCGCCCCGCTTCCCTCGCTCTGGCCTACGCGCCAAGCCTGTGCCACGGGTGAGTAAGAGAATAGCATAAAGTCGTTCATGCGCCAGAAGCTATCTTTGAACTAGAAGAGTTGGGCACAGCAGAAACAAACATGTTCGCATGCATCCACGATGCAGGGGAGCTCCGGGAGGCACCGTAGCTATCAGGGTCCACTTGCGACCGACTTAAGCGCCCACGATATCTCACATGCTAGTCTGCATCTTATTCCCAGCGCGTATATCAGCATCACATATTACGCATGTACTGAGCAAGTTCTCTTCTGCGTCTATTAGACTGTATCTTTTGACTCATCTCAATGTACATGAACCTTCCACAGACATTGCTTTGAATCATCATGACCGTGCATACCGCCGAAAAGCGTCATAACAGCAACAGCCGTAGCGCCCGCTGATCGAGAATCCCCAGCCCAAGCCATGCATAACATTGAACATCGTAAAGCGCATAACATCAATTCCTCTAACCCACCATTCTCCGCCTCTTTCCGATCTGGGCCGAGAAACCAGTCTTGATGGCCTGTACCGAACGTCTCGATCCGCAGCTGTTGCAGGTGACGAAGTTGAGACGGTTCTCACCCTTGGAGAGGTCGGTATCGGGCGAGCGGCAGGTCTTGCAGGTAACGTATTCGACAATGTATCGGCGGAGGACGTTCTCGAGTTGCTTCTGCTGGAAACGACCCTTGATGACCAAGCGCTTCTGGTCGGCGAACGAACCGCTCGTACCCAGTTCAGCGAACAGGAACTGCGCAACGTGCTCGTCGGAACGCTTCATACGCTTGCAAATCTCGGCAAGGTTGGCAAAGACGGTCTTCTTGTTTCCTTCGCGCATGCACTGTGGGGGCGGGATCTTGTAGCTCTTTGTGCCCGAGCTGGCGAGGTCGGGATGTTGTGCGTGGAGGAGCGTGAAGAAGCGGTTCAGGAGGAGGTTGTACGAGATAGGGGTCGTCGAGTTGTGTTCCCAGATGCCGGTGCCCTTCATCATGTCGCCTTCTTGTACTTCGGGTTCGGGAGCAGCGACCTCCTCCTCGCCTTCGGGCTTGTCGCCGCCGGCGGCAGCGAGCTTGGCCTCGAAGTCGTCCTCGACCTTCTTCTTGCTGGACTTCTTCTTCTTCTTCAGCGCGGCGAAGTCGCCCTCTGCGCCGTCCTCTTCCTCGCCTTCCTTCTTCTTGGAGGACTTCTTCTTCTTCTGTATCTTGTCAGCAAAATGTTGATAATCGCGCATGCTTTTTGCGCCTCACCTTCTTTGCGAGATCAGCGAACATGTCGGTGACCTCCTCGACCTCTTTGTCGTCGCCTGTAGCCCCGCTTGTCAGCGACTGATGTATTTCCAGTGTGTGGTCCATCTTACCAGCACTCGCGGCGTGGCCCTCAGCGGAGTCCTTGTCGCCGTTCATCTCTAGTGATTCGGTAACGTCGCCGTTGCTGTCGACAATCGTAGCACCTTCGGAAAATTGGACCGACTTGCGGGGTTTGCGGTCAGGGAGATCGGCCTGTGTAAGTGTCCGTTAGTATGTAGCTCTTTGTAGGGAAGTAGAAATAAGTCCCAGCTAGCAAGCTGGCATGCAGCAAGCCCACTTTCAAGGCACAGGATATTTCGAAAGCGAACGTGGGGCTGTGACGTACAGTATCAGCCATGATTGCGGTTGCACTCGAGTTTTCGATCTTCAGTGAGTTCTGGGGATGTTCTGGTATCGATTCGGAGTACGTAGTGATATGTAGGCGTGGTGAGTCGAAGAGTCAGGCAGGCGGTCACCCCAAAGTTCGCCGCAACACATGTGTGAGTCGAACGCTGAGTGCCAAGATTTGCGTCACGTGCCGACTGCCGCTAAGCCCCACCTCCGCTCATTGGCTGGAGCGCTCCGACACCATTCACCGAACGCGCCTCTACCATAGCCGTCGCGATCCCGTCACTATCGCCAATGCTGCTACGGTAGTCCGCCGATCCAGTCATACATCCACCACCCTCTCCTGTCAACGATCCAACGCCACCGCCGCCATGTCCCTGAGCAATAGCGAGAGCTTCATCGAGCCATCCTCCAACGACGAGATCGATTCATTACCATCCTCGGCAACAAGCTCCTCAGCCGATGAGGAAGAATACATGTCAGATGCGGACCGGGAGTGGAAAGAGTCGCTGCAGCAATTGGAGCTGCTGTTGACAATGGTCATGGTGCCATACCTGGGGAAATACTTTGGCAGGAAGGCCGCATACTGGGGCACGTCATCTTCAAGGTTAGATGACCGGATAGATGGCAGGTAGCTAACATCTGTGCAGGATGGGCCAAGTTTATGGAATGGAAATACCCCGTCGAAATCGTCTTCTCGAGTCCGAAGACGTTCAAGCTGGCTGGAGCTGTTGAGGCAGCAGCCACACTATGAGCGCTTTACACTACTTCGGCGGCTTCACACAATCAAGCATCGGCGTTTATGGCGTTGGGTCCATCAGATATCCACACACATTGGACGTCACTTGTAAATACCATTCTATTACCACGACATATCGAACACATATATTACAAGGCAAAGGGCCCTCGCCCAACCTCTACTCAAGAATCTCCCCGTTGAGAATCGTCCTCCCATAGGCATCATGGTGCCAGTGGTCACCCTCTAGGGTAGTAAGTCGGTCCTGCATATGTTTTGTGTCGATTCCGCCATCCTTGGCATGTATCTCCTCCATCTCCTGCCTTTTCTTGCTCTTGGGCTTTCCCTCTTTGATGCGTAGCTTTTCAAAGTAGACGTACGAACCATAATAGATGCCGGATGTGTTGCCGTTCAACGCCCCTTTCTTGCTGCGAAAAGCAGAGAGTTGACGCGCGTTAAGGGTCTTGGATGGGTTGTGGAAGGACGCTGAGGCTGCGCGAAGGAATGCAGCCTGGGTTACGCCGGGTTTCTTGAGGTGTGCGTTGATCTTATGGCGGACGTCGTCGCATTTATCTATCAGCGTGTGAGTGCTCACATCTCTTCCGTCATGGTGGTGCGAAAGCTTACCGTATACTGGTACTTTATCTTCTTTCTCAAAATCCAGCTCAACATCATCGACACTAGGCACGCTGTCCTTTCCCGCGTCTCCTTCATTCTTCTTCGCCTTCTTATTCGCGGTCGTCTTGATGCCTGCCATCTCGCGCTGCTGGAAGAATGCGTACGCTGCCACATACACTGAAGACTCAACTCCCTTCTCCTTCCCATGCTGGCTCATAAAGCGCGAGTACGCATTGGGCGCGATGCCAACTGCTTTTTGGAACTCGCCCACTTTCATTTCGCCATTGTCAATCAAGGTGCGTATCTTACGCCTGCATACAAATCAGATACTATACGCAGATCATGGAGAATCGGAGATGTTCATGACGGGACGTCAACCTAGGAAAAACCTGAACAGGTCTGCAGCCTATATCAACATAGAAACCTACAAAGTAGGTGGCGTAACATCAGTGTAGGCTCTAGACCTGTTCGTTTTATTTCCTCTGTATAAGGTGGCTGCGTAGAAACACGCAACGCGCGCATTGTTACTAAAATAAAAATCGCATACCGTAAGACATCGCAGCTCTCCGTCACAGGCCTGTTCTCAAGCTCAAAATCTGATTCGTCATCATCGATGATTTGCATGCTCGGGTTAGACGCAGTTGGGTTCGAGGTAGTCGGGTTTAACACAGTCGGGTACGGCATAGGCGCATTCGAGATAATCGTGTGCGGCATAGGAGGCGGGTACGACATAGGTTGGTTCGACATAGGCGGGTGCGACATAGGCGGGTGCGACATAGGCGGATGCGACATAGGCTGGTGCGGCATAGGCTGGTGTGATATAGGTTGGTTCGACATAGATTGATTCGACATCGGCGGGTAGGACGGAGTTTGGTTCTCCAAAGTCGGCATCGGGTATGAGTTCATGTACGCCATATTGAAACTGTGCGGTCCTGACACGTCAAACTTGAACAAAAGTAAACACCCTAGGGTCTACATCAATGTTAACACACCTACTTTGCATGTACTTATCTTAGTGTAGTCTGCAGACCTGTTTAAGTTTTTCCTTGTATGAGGTGCTGATGTGATTGTATTCCAATAACAATATACAGCGACAATCGTCGAAACACAATAGGTTGGCAAAAACGCAGATTCAGAGGGAAATAGTAGAGATAAATGAGAAAGGGTGGCATTGCGATCACCCCATCCTAATGACGTCTTGTTGCGACGCGTCTGTGTTTTGCGCTAGTGGGCGGGGAAAGCGCGGACGCGTTCTCAGGGGGCGAGTATCAACACCATGAACAGCGGGCCTGCAAGATACCTCTTGAATCAACAACTTGTTTCTTGCCTTGAATACACAGTACAATGTGATTCAAATATCTTCACAATTCCAACTTGACGACATGTGATGCCGATAAAGTCTCTCACAACTTCTGAGCATCGAGACAGAATACCACAAGCAGAGACATCGTGACTCGTTGGAACGTAAGCACAACCCCAAAAGAAAGCAGCGCATTTCGATAACGGCGCATGATGACTCCAGAATCTTCGCTGGCCATTGCTTTTCAATAAGTTTTTCACTCTCCAGGGCTGCTCATTCGCTGCCTGAAACAGACGCTAGGCACTTGAACCGGGGGGTGTATGTGTATACAACATGAAAGCGCAGCACTATCCATAATCACGCCGAAACACGACAAGCCGCGAAATTAGACACGGCATAATCGTCCGTTCTGAGTTTGAGTACCCTGCTCGCCATCCCTGATTTCCCAGTCCTCACTGCCAACAGCTGTTGTCGCGTAGAAGACGCCCTTGGGGTCCCACTTCTTCTTGATTGCGAGAAGCTTGGGGTAGTTCTTCGCGCCGTAGAAGTCGATTTGCCAGTTTGGCTCTTGGATATCCGCCTCGTTGAGATAGACGCCGCCACCCTCGGACGCCGGAGCGACTGCACGCCACGAGTCCATGATGTCGTACGTAAGGTAGTCGGACGCTTCCTTCAATTGAGCCGGCGTCGCGTTCTCGGGGACCATGTTCGCGGTGATCAAGAACGACTGGGTGTTGCGCCATGCCTCATTGACAGCATTGTCAACCTTGAAAGGGTTGCCTGGAGCCATGTGGTAACCACCCACCGTGTGGCCGTTCATCACTGTGTCCTTGATAGTGGTGTAGAAAGAGTTGAACTTCTCTTCGGTTGCCCAAAGGCTCTTGGGGAAGAGACGCGTAGCTTGACGAATGGTGGTCACGCCGAGCGTATCCGCACCCCATGAGCCTTTGTTGGCAGAGTAAAAGTCGTCGTGGTAGGTCGTGTTGGGAGTTACTGAGATGTTGAAAGACTTGAGGTCGGCGAAGAAGTCCTTCGTGAGCGCATTGAAGGACTCAATGGTGTGGTTCGGCGCAAAGAAGGGAGTCATCTGGAAGTCGAGCGTCGTACCATAGTTCCAGATCCAGAAGTATGAATAGGTCCCAGCGTTGGTGAACTCAGGGAACCGCTTCATGTAAGCGTTGATGCCCTTCCAGAAGTTGACAGAGTCGTTGACTGGGGCCTGGAAGGAGAAGACAGACTTGGTAACGTGTATTCTCGGATGGGCTTTGGCGATAACTGAAGTCACAACACCAAGAGTTCCACCGCCTCCTCCGCGAAGGGCCCAGAAGAGATCGGAGTTCTTAGAGTCAGAGGCAGTGACGAAACGCCCATCGGCGGTGACGACCTCAAAGGCGAGAACTTGGTCAGCGGCCATGCCGTAGATGGATGCGAGAGGTGAGTGGCCACCTCCGGTGATATAGCCACCACTCCATCCAACAGTCTACGTTCAGGGTCAGTGGCTGCGACTGCAAAACGTTGCATACCATGGCGACTTACTTCACAGATCCCGGTCATGACGGTCACATCGTGTTCGCGGGCAGCTTCCAGGATCTCGAACCCTTGGACACCAGCACCAGCCTTGAACGCCGGGCCTCTGTACTCAGTCGAATCGTACTGCTCAATGAACCGGATGTCCTTGAGGTTGTGTGTCCAAATACTGAGAGCACCTGCCCCAGACGACTTTCCAATATAGTCGTGCCCAGTATTCTTGACAGTCAACCTGAGGTTCATGTTGCGAGCAAAGTTGACGCCAAGCTGCACCTGGGCAACATTCTCGACATTGATCGAGTAAGATGCATAGCCACCTAGCGTACAGGTGCCACTAGGGTCGTCGGTAGGCATGCACGTGCGGCCTTGGAAGAGCGGCCACATCATCGAGGTCGGGTCACTTGTGTGGAGATCGGATGTGGTGAATCTGGCTGAGATGTCTGCGCACTTCGCCTCATCATAGTCGTTCCAGGCCGAGTCCTTGTAGCATGGTGCAGCGATGGGAATCGTCTTGATGAGCGCTCCTCCCAGCAGGTTGTCGAAGGTAGACCATACGCTTTCTTCCGGATAGTCGGAATCGCCTGGGAAGACTTTGCATTGACCGCTGCTGATTCCATCCGTCGTCTCCTCCTTATTGTCGAAGCCAAAAAGTGAAACCACGTCAACCTCACTGGTTTGGCGAGCAGCCGCATTCAGGGCGTCGTTGGTCAGTTGGACTGCCTCGTTCGGGAAAAGCGCAACTCCGGCAGGCGAGTTCGTGGAGACTGTGGCGGCGGCAGGTGCGACATCGCGGAAAGCAACCGGACTTCCAAGAACGCCGATAGCGTTCGCAGCTAAGAACAACAAAGATCTGCGCGCAGACATAGCGAAAGGACGTCTGGTCAAGAGGAGTGAACGTGTAGGCGCTGCACGACCAAGCCTCGTCGACCCATCTTGATAAATGAACAAAAACCCACGCCACACCGAACCGAAGGATTCATTCTAGATCCACACATCAGATAGTGTCTAGGAGTCAAATGTCGGGATGCGGCATGCTCTATACAACATGCATGCCGCTCGCTGTATTCACATTACTCGTACCTACATATGAAGTGGAGCCGCGGCTCGAATGCCCACGGCCCGCTCCTTCGGTGGCTGTTGACTCCACGAATGAGAAGCATCAATTAACATTTCCCAGGTCGCGGGTATTCAACGTGTTTGCGCATCCTTGCGGTCTCTGGCTGAGAAGGAAGGATTTGGTTCGGCATGGCCCAATGGGGTTGAAGCCCCACATCATGTGGGAGTTTAGCCGCGCGCTGTGGGTGAGGATATTGTCGAGCACCTGGTCTTTCGTGACACCATTTGCGATATGATTTTTTGGCTAACTGTTCGCCATTTCTTGTAATTGAACTTGTAAGACATCTATATTCTATAAACTGTGGCCGACCACCCCACTGCGAGGATGTACTTGATGCCCTCAATGTTTCAGTGCAGCTCTTCGTAATCTCTTTCCTGCTCTTCTTCGACGATGAGTCTGGCACCTTCAGGCAGTAGCTTTAATAGCTCCTCTCTCTTCTCATACGGAAAAGCCATGCGTGCGAGGCTTTTCCTGATTTCCGCACGACCATCCCGTGACTGATGCGATATCAAACCAAGCTGAAGACCTGGTTCGGCTGACTCCTGCTCTGTCGGTGTATGATCTGAAACCATACTTTCCACATGCCTTCCAACGCCTCTGATCTCCATCTGCTTCACATGAGGCCATGGAGCTTCCAATAGAACGGGCAAGATCCATTGTCGGAACATGAGATCCATTGGCCGATACGAATAATGCGGGCACGGTGGCCGAATGCCTCTTGGAGAGTCGTATTCATTTCGATTGTAACCCTGCTTGAAGGAGAGAGAACGTAGGGTATGCCGAACGGATTGCATGAAGCGCGCCCATTCAGAGTATCGTTGCTTGCCCTCTTCTGTATCGTACCAAACATTCGTAAAGGAATTGCCGACGGTAGCAATACACAAAGAAGTGAGAGCAGTAAAATCCCCAACGTAAGAATCTAGCAATCCCATCATGTACCGGTCGTCTAGGGCGGTGCGTTCATCTTCCTCGTGTTCCTGCAAATAGTCTACCATGTCTTGGACGGCAAAAAACATTGGATAAGGCGGGTCAAACTCGTCAGACTGGAACAGGTTGTGTAACTCAAGTGCTTTGAGTTGGTGGGCATACTCCTGGAAGAAGCAATTGACAACGTCGCGTCGCACCCAGCCACTCAAGCGCACCGAAGTAGCTTTAGGAAAGCATATCAAAGGCAGTAGTAGAGGATCGCATGACCTTTAGAAGTCAGTAAACAATCATCGCTAATCAGCCAAACACTTACTGCGTGAAGCAAAGGTCAATCTCGGAGACGTTATCAAGGCTACGGAACGTGCGCCAAAGAGAGCCTAACATAGTCAGCATCAACACCTTGAATAGCGTATCCGCGTACCGTAGCTTCCATGCCCGTCAATATCCAGATCTTCCGACCCTGGGTATTCATCCGTCAAGCGCTTGAATTCGTGCTCCAAACTTTCTTCTTCTCCGTCTTCCCAAGCCGTCTCATCGCATTCAAACAAATTGAAGACTGTCCAGCATAGCACATGCGCGTGCTTACCAAGCCCCGGATCGTGCTGCAAAGTTCGTGTAAATTGCAGCTGCTTCTCAAATACGTCCAAGTCGAGGCGTCCCCATCTTCTGTGGGTAAAATCGGGTGGCACCCGATGAAGCCCGTCATAAACAGGCGTGCAGTCGATGGGAGCATTATGTGAGCTCAAGTCAATGTTGCGGTACAACTCTGGCATCTACTCGTCGTCAGTCGCTATGCGAAAGTTGAGGAATGCTCACATACACCAACGTCGTATAGCGAGCGGCATGTCTCGCATAGTCTCTTTATGTCGGCGCAAGAGCAAGAAGACAGGATCTCAATGAGAAGCTCTGTTGGTAGATAGAGTAGATGAGACATGTCCCTGCGACTCCATCCAGTGGCGAGATCAATGATACACCGTCAAAGATGCGTTTCGCACTCGGGATTCCAAGTAGATATCGAGTAGTGAGGTGTTGTTCGTTTTGAATGATGAAGTAGCTGTGCCACATTAGGCAGCATCCTTTGCCACCACGCTTGTATCCCTTTCTGAATCATCACATTCCTTGCATCTCCAGAACTCGTGCTTAAATCTGTTTCGAAAGCTCTTGCACCCAGGCTAACCTTCCCTCGCCAAAGATCTCGGCTGTGGCTGGCATGTCCTCACCGCCTTCCAGTAACAAAGTGCGCACGATGATCTTGTCCGGCATAACATCCTGATGATGATAAACATGGCTCGTGCAAACTTTGCAAAAGTAGCATCGCACGAACTTGCCTGCACCCAGTCAGCCTTTCCTCCTTCAGCAACACAAAGTGAACATACCACTAGCACCTTTGTACCCATACTGCCTGATGTTTTCCTCGCCGGAGACAATCTGCAGTTCCTCTTTCGGTATGATCTGATTGCACGAGTACGGTCCACCACCGAGCTTCTGGCATGTTGAGCAATGACAGAGCACGTGCTCAGCATTCTCGAGCTTCGCGGTCCATTTTACACTCTCGCAATGGCATGTGCCCTTCCTGACCCCATCTCCTTTCGCCGACGGATGTTCGGCTGCAGAACCAAAAAGCACACCGTCTTTGATATCGACGACTAAGCTATCCTCGATCAGCGGCTTCGCGGCTTTAGAGAAGGCCTTGTGAACCGGCTCAGTGGTGAGGTAATAGTCCAAATCTTCCTGATTCGCAAACTCGAGCACGAAAGCGTGTGTCATGCCTTTGGAAAAAGGTTCCCACGATCTGTTTTTGCCGGCTTTCAGCGACTGAATGAGCGGCTTGCCGGTGTTCGGATTCAGCGACTTGTGTTGTAGGGCCATGAAGGACTTGAAGTGGCTCTCTAGGTCCGTCCATGATATATCTTGGCGGTATCTGAAGAGCACGATGTGTGTGATCGTGTCGCTAGCCATTGTCTCCGATGCAGGAGTCCCTGGTGCGGAGGTGCAGGGCGTGATGGGTGCGGGGTCGAGGATGTCGGCTATGTTGGGGAACATGTAGCAGGTGTAATACGGTCTTCATAGCGAGGGACTCCATCTTGGATTATAAGGACGCCAGGAGCAGTCGCAAGGTGATGTTGCAAGACCGCGATGGCACGCGTTCGTGGAAGGCACCCCCGGGGCTAGCGCCGCTGGAAGTAGCAAGTTTCTCCGTCTCGCCGCTGTGGGGCAACTGCGCATGGAACGAACATCCGTCTTTCTCAGCATCAGCATTTCGACCTCCATCATTCACTCATGCCATCTCGACGTGATTCTGTTAATGAAGCGCATCTTGTCAAAATATTTTTCATTCCAGATAAAGCTCGCTAAACTGCACAATGTCATCGTCGCTCCGTCGAATCGCATCTCACGGCGTGCCCTCCTTAGCCGATCCCATCGCCTGCCCAGGCGCACTCGCATCCCTCAGTTTGACACTCTCATCTGTCTCCTGCAACAGCGCATCCTCGTGATCGACCGGGAAAAACCGATAGCTTCTCATTTCCGTGTTTTGCCAATCTCCATGTGCCTGACAATCGTTCTCATCTAGATCCCCAGACACGTAGTGCAGGAAGTCGCCGTGCGATACCACGACGATCTCCTCTTCGTCGCGGTCGCGCAAGAAGCGGCGGAGTTCCAGGGCGCGTGCCTTCAGCGAGCCCCCGTCTGGTGCCCATTTGCCCTCCTTGGTATTGAAGTCTGTGTAGGTGTCCAGGCACCTGTGGAAGTCGCATACATCGCCGAATTCCTTCTGAAGTCGCTTTACATCGCTTGGTGTGTTGGCGGGCTCAGATGTAGCTTCTTGGGCTAGGGGAAGAGCGAGGATGTTGCGCTTTCCGGATTGCAACCACGGCTCCATGCTGATGAGTGCTGTTTGGATTGTGCGGCGGATAGGGCTTGCGCAGACTAGGTCGATGCGATCAAAGAATGGAAACGTTTCCGAAAGGTTTTTGCATTGTTGTTTGCCTTTCGGTGTGAGGTCGGGGTCGGGGATCTTCTCGTTGTGTTCTGCGTTGTGGTAGCCTTCGGCGTGGCGGATGAAGTGCACAGCACGGGGAGCCATTTTGGATTAGGACGTGTAGGTGTCGGGAAGCGATTGAAGTGTTATTTCGTGTCAACCGTAGAAGAATTAATGTCTTGAACGGCTTTGAGATGACAGTATTAATGAAGGGAGAGGAGATCAATATATATACTGCGAGAGGTACATCTAGAGTAGCGTCACAATTGGTATACCGAACATGCACACGCCATCCTCGAATTCGGTCGTCATATGCTAGCATATTCATCGGACCAAGATCTCGTGGCGAGATGCATGTTCACCATCAACATCCACGAAACGATAGATGCTGGTGGATGACGAGAAGGCTATTTCGGCACAGCTGTGAGTAGCATGGAAGGTCAGCCGTGTCAATACCAAAGACACGTCGGAAGCGCTCCTGAGGTTATGGCTGGCTGCGTCCTGGCGTGAAAATAAGCTCCTCGTAAGTTTAGTAGCCTTCTAGAAGGTCTACATGCCCAGCCATCGGAGTCTGGGGCTCTTAGCGTCTGGTAAGTCCCGGTTCGGAGGCGCTTGCTTGGATTCTTGGCTCTGAACGACGCGAAAGCACTTACTGAGCCAGTGTAAAGTCCCTGGCTACCGCATAGACGGATGACCATTTGTTGAAAACTTGGTTCGCCGCATGCACAATGACATCCAGGCTTGAGGCCGCGTCAGGAACGGTATGAGCAGTTGCGGGTAATCGGCACGTCAAGAAGGCGATGTAAAGCTTGATGCCGAGACGCACACAGAATGGTAGGAGTCGCGTGGATATCACGGCCCTTTTCAAATGTTCTCGCGCTGTGGTCCAGAATTAGTGGAGGTGAGGCCTCCGTCACATCCGCTCTGGTCGAGATTTACACGCCAAGTGGGTGACGTCAGCACGCGTGAACTAATGATCTACGGGCTTCCCCACAAACTAAAGCTTCGCCGTAGAAACTGCGCTTGGGAAGAGAGATGCGCTATGCATGGTTTCCCAGAGCTACGGTGCTTGAGATCTTGCTACACGGCTGTAACGGCATCGCATGCGAGAACTCATCTGTCACACCGAGCGAGTGTCTCTGCTAGCATACAGCACATCATAGAGTCTGTCCAACCCAACCTTCCGCTTCGAAATCAACATATGTTCCTTTCAGTCGCACAGGATCAACGTAGATCTTCAATCCTTTGTCGTCCGACAAAAGATAAGACACTCGCATAATGACATACATTCTGGTTGCCTCCTGGTCTCTTTGAACAGCCATCTCATGCATCTGCTTGTTGTGTCAGTCATGCGCCCACGAAACTCATCCCACATATTTGTTAAGGAAGTCTAGACAACTTACGAGTTTGTACTGTCCCGCACTCAGGAAGAATCTCGTCTCACAAGCACTTGTCGTGCTCTTAACTTCGAAGTAGTATTCGATCGGGTGCCTCGCGAAGTCGCGCTCAGCACTACTAGCAGGATAGCCACCTGTGCATCTCCCCTTCAACCATTGCGACAGCGTACCATCGCGATCTGTGTAGACGATATCCGCTGTTTCGCGACCTTGCCAGTTGGCAATGCCGGCGTATCTCGGATGGCGTGAGAGCTCTCCGCGAATCGTACTGCGCCAATTGTCAAGCGTGAAGTCGGTCAAATTGAGAGCGGCGAGCGTTTCAAAAACCTGCAACTGTCAGTAAGCGGATACGGAGTCACTCGAAGCGACGACTTACAAATGCTTCACCTAGAGCTCCATGAAGGCGGTTAATACGCTCCTGATCCAAGCTGCGACTTGCTTTAGGACTGTAGGCCGCATGTCTGGAGCTAGCTGTCACATCTTCGACGAAGGTTGACTCGGACGAGTTCACAGACCCAGTTGCTGAGACTAGAGAAGAACGTCTTCGCGTGCCTGTGCTCTCAGCATTCGGCACGTGTCGTGGCTCAAACGGCGACGATGAATCATCTTCATCTCCATCCTCATCTTCGTCATCCGGTAAATTTAAGACTGGCTTTGTGATCCACGACACGCACGATATATCGAGCTCGATCAGGATGTCGTCTAAGGCTCGGAGGTCGCTACCAATGATGACAGAGATGTCATGACGTGCGCTGTCGTCGACTTCCATGATGTCTGCAAGCAGTTTCGGAAGCTGTGATCGATAGGAAGATTGACGTTGCTTCGGGCCTTTGGGTACGTAGATTCTTAGACCGTCTGCCGTCCTCTCATGGTGTATGAATGATCGCTCGCTTCGAACAATAAGATGAAGGTCTGGGTCTTTGTTGTCGATGACCAGGTGGGTCGCGAGATCGCCTCTGGAGATCCGAACCGCTGACAAAGTGTCGAAAAGTGAGTGATCTCCATGGAGAGCTTTCACACTCTTGTACTTCGCAGCACAGCTGTGTAGAGTCAGCTTGACTGATCGCACAGAGTGGCTTTCATATGAGGAAAGACTCACCAATATAGAGCGTACGCTTTCACTTGCAGTTGTTGCGTAAGGGCATCGTCTTCCTCACTATCTTCCTCGACCGTGGACTTCTCGACCACCAAAGACGAGAGATAATACCTCTTGACACCGGTATGCGTGAACATGACGTTCATAATTTGAACCTCCTCAACGGAGAAGTCGAGTAAGATGTCATGCTCCTCAAAGGCGCTGCCATATCGAGTATGGTCCCGGATAGCGTAGGCATCGTGACGGCTAAGGAGGACTGCACCGCCATTGGCAAGTCTTTTGGGCAGGAACTTGCTTGCCGCAAGATCGGATAGCGCATCTTTAGTTGCCTTATCCAGCTTGGTAGTAGTCAGCATCCTGCTGACGTCGACGAGCCGCTTTCGGATATTATCGTAGTCGGGCGATTTGTTCCTGACCATTTTCGATATCTCCTTGATAACCATAGTCGGTGTGACTTTCTTGACTTTGAGATGCTTCACGAAGAAGGTTTCCAATTGTGGGTAGATGGAGCTAAGGTCTTCGTATCCAGAAAGCAAGAAACGGCTGTGCCACACACATGTCTCCAGGGTGTGCCAGGTGTTATTCGTGCCCAAGATCAAATCGTTTTGCTGGAACTGCGTCCTAAAGGTTGTTAGCACATACAAGGATGAACCAAATAACGCGGCTAAGAAGTGGTTTCGATGGTGCTGCTAACATGTATTGAAGCTTTCCAATACTGAGCTCAGTATCGGGTAACGATGTAGACATCGTATGTTCGATCCAAAGCTGCACAGAATTGAAAATCACGCGGGGGGATTAAACAAGAATAACTCACCTCAGTATCTGCCACTCCTCGTAACGGACTGTATTATCACGGATGTATGAATAGATGTCTCCTGCAACGGAAAGGGTGGTTGTGAGATCGGTAGCTTGCCGTCGTTTGATCAGCTCTTCCAAGACATCCTCGGGGACAGCATCTGGTACATCTAGAGTTCCTTGAAAGAATCTAGACAGTGCAGGAATATGCCCATAGTGCGATTGCAACACGCTCTTGTGTCGCAAAAAGGCTGGGCCCTGCCAGACGCATGAAGATTTGTCTACCCAGCTTCTACTGCTGGGTATCCAGAGCAGCTCCTGGGAGAAGAGTTCGCTATTTTGATTAGCCTTGTGACTGAGTTGAAGAGCGTGGGATGAATAGAACGTACCAAAGATCGTCGTGATCGTCTGCCTTAGCGAACTTCGCTAGGCCCGCATATATCTTCTCCAGAATTCCCAAATCAGGATCTTGAGCCACTGACCTGATACCCTGAAGAGCGCGCTCATAGAACTCGAGATCTACCTCGCTACGTACGCCAAATTCTTCCAAAAATCGCCACTTTACACGGCCGTCTTTGTCAAGATTGTCCGACAGTTGGCAAAAACCAGGTATATCGAGTATACGAAACTTGCCCAAGGTTAGACCAAGGTTCAGCATTTCATCAATGACGTCTACCGTAGGTAGGTATGTATCTTGAAGAGGTTCGAATTGGTCAGGCTCATCAACCTGGGCGGCGCATGGTACTTCCAGGTGCCTGAGCTGGTCTACGATGCGTGAAATGTCCTTTTGGTAATCGCGCCAATGCTCTCTGAGCATGTCGAAAAAGTCGTAAGTTGACCACAGGTAGACTAACCTTAAAGCTGGGGAAAGCTCTGGCAAAGACGTCTTTGCATTTTCGTATACGAGAGGCGGATAGTATCGGGCACCTGTCGCCTGCTCCAACCACTTTTCCCACGCATCACGCTGGTCCTTCGCAGAATTTTCTTCCCAGTCGACTAGAGACTTGTCAACAAATTCCAAGATTCCCTGATATTTCGAGGGATGAAGTTCAGCAAGAGCTTGATAGAGATGATGGGCTTCTTCTGACGGGAAGTATAACGTTGCAGAGTCTCTCACATGCCCGCTTGTTGTCGGCACCCAGATCCATTGTTTGAGCAGCGAAGCTTCCTCATTCGCGCGGAAAAGGTATCGAAGGTGCGACGGTATATCAGCAGGAGCTTTGTTGGCGCGGCCATGTACCTGCTTGATCCTGTCCACGACCAACTCATGCGAACACTCCTCGACACCGAGTGCTGTGTAAAAGGCTTTTCGCGTCGGATTCGAAGACGCGTGTGTATCGAGGAGATTCAATCCTATAGAGCTGGGAATATGAATGCCGTCGACATCAGAGAAGTAGATATGATCCAAACTCCCACCGCTGCTTTGCCCTGGTGCGCCTGTCCACTGACGACGATTCTGCAGAGGTATTATAGCCAGTTTCCTCAGTCTATTTTGGACACCAACGTCGGGGGCTTTGATCGACCATGCCTGTAGAAACAAGGATGCAAATGCAACGTGCCATGCATCGTGCGGTTCCGTGGCTTTCAATCTCGAAGTGACGGTCAGGACATCAGTCTCTAGCCGTTTCATCATGCGAGGTAGACCTGCCCAACGTACCCCAAGGGAAAAAACTTCAGAGACGTATTTAGGAATGTAATCAGGGGCAAGGTCGACATCACCCGATATGGCCTCCAAGATCGGTTTGCCGCCATGCAGCATGTTGTCCTGTAGTAAACGTAGTTCTCCTGGTCTTCTAAGACGTCGCTGTCGCCAAGTCTGCAGGATAGTTTTCTCTGCGAGCTCTTTTGTAATCAGTTGACGCATTAATTTCCATCGATCGTCGCTTAGTCCGGTAGGTAGGTAATCGAGCCAAGAATACCCCAGGGGATCACCGTCTTTCGTGAAATCTTCAACAGCCATCGCGAACGTCTTCGCCACACCATGGAATATGAACTCATTCCATGTACAGTCAACGACACTTTCTCGGCTTGCAGAGGTGACAAAGTCTGATTGGATGAGGAACTTACGGAATGAATCAGTATACTTCTTCTTCACATGAATTGATCTTACCTGAACTTGTTGCAAACGCTGCAATGGTAAATAAGCAAACACATGATGCCCAGATTCGCTAAGCTTTGGCTGCTGTGTTGTGGAGTCAACTGGAAAGGCCAACTCGACGCGCGCCGATCCGCGACCCTCCCGGTATTCGTGTGTTGGCATGTTCTCGACGACGTGAGTGAAACAACGATACAAGCTTTCGTCAACCGTGATTTCATCGTTGAACTCTTCGTGGCGCCTGATGAGAACGCGACTTGGGGGAGATTCAAGTGCGATTCTCTCGAAAGTGGTTGTTACTTCATTGTCGTCCAGGACTGGGTCTGTGACATGAATACGGAACCTGCGTAGTCTCTGCAAGAAGAAGAGTGTTGTATCAGGCATGCTTGCGACAGCCTTGAGTAGGCCCTGGTACTCTGCAGTTGCATCCCTCGCGAGGCGCAAAGTTATTCTTGTAGTCACATCCTCAGGGAGAGTGACTGGCTCGGCGTCCAGAGGCGTCACCATGCCAAGACCGTCGTCTCCGCGCCGATGTTGAAACCGAAATGACCAGAGTCCAGATTGAACGTGCACGTCCTCTGCAATGGAGAACACAGACTTGAATCCAAAGCCTTTCTCTCCGATGTGATCGTCTGTAGCTGACGATTTCTTCGAGCTTTCCCCAGTCGCACACACTGCCTCAACGTTGGCTAGTCTGAAGCCATCTTCATTTGTTTCCACAATGAAAGCATCTGGCGCGATATTGAATCGGAGAAAGGGTAGTACCGATGCGCTGTGCGCCTCGTTGTACAGCGAATCGTCAGCATTCTGAACAAGTTCGTACAAGAAACGATACTTGGACGAGTAAAGCTGCTGGGAGATGCTGCATCAGTTGTTAAAATCTGAGTATGGTTTGACCTGCAACACGAACCTTTTGGTGAAAGCTGCCTCAAGCTTGCGCTGTTTTGCAAAAACATACAATGTCCGGTCGCGATGTCCGTGGGAAAGCTTCTCCAAATCCAGTCGGTAATCCTCGTCGATGTGGCCTTTGTTGACACGAATGCGCTCCAACACAGCTTTGCACTCGTCCACTGTTGATGGTTCCGCCTTTCCGAGCCGTTCAAGCACTTCGTGGTACCTGCCACTGATCATGCTGAGAGGTCAAACAGGAATGGCGAATTTGGTGTCGTGTGAATATAGTTCAACGAGTCAAACATGGATGTTTACCTCCTGGGTCAAACAAGTGATATGTGCGATTATAGCGAAAGTGGAGAGAAGTCATGAGATTGCTCGCGTTGATGGTGGGGGTGAACCAGTACGGTATTGGCCGCTGCACGCGTGTGGCACAGTACCTTCTCGCGTCGCACGTACATGCAAACCCGAGACATTACGGGTAACGATATGCGCCGAGTATTTTGAATGGACCAAACGCGCTGAGAACAAGCTGCTGGAGGATGCGCTTCCAGACAAGCCTCGAGCCTTTCTTAGAAGCTAGTCCTGATAATCTCAAATCAGCTGGTTTCGGCCCTCACGAAACCACAGTCACTCACAGGCGTACTGTTAGGGTTAGACATTCGTTTGGAAGCGCCAGCTTGACTTGTTGGTTGATGCGAAGCAGCTCCGTTATCAGTGCTGCTAGAAACTATGGGGAGACGTTTACGTGTCGCTGAAGACCAGGTCTGGGGATCAAAAGATGGTACTGCTGTGATCTGGACGAAATTCGATCATGACATCTTAATTTGTGGATGCGTTGTAGGTAACTATTGCGCCAAAGCAGTTTTGGCGACGACTATGTGGCAAGGCGACCTTGGCGTGGCATCTCACAAGAAGATCTCCAGGTTAAACTCTAGCGTACTCACTGGGTATCTGTACGATAATTAGCATCTCAACTACATTGCGAGACAAGCTGAAAGCGACTTACGGCAACTCGAACTTTTGCAGCACACTCGGGTGCAGGATACCGAAGACACCGATGGTATGGTTCTTGCCGCCGAGGTTGAGCTTGATAGCCGCTGAGTGCCCGGGAAGGAAGGTCGGGTCTGTGACCAGTCAGTATATTTGCACCATTTCTGATGCGCAACTCATCCACTTACCATCAACCTCTTCTATCCAGTAGCCCTGCAATTGCTCGTTCTTTAGTCCGTCTTCGCGCGTAAGGAATGCCGACCGAAGCATGAGCATCAGCCTGTCCAGCAGACCGTGTACTTGCTCGAAGCCACTTGTCTTGCCCATGAATGCGGCTGCGAAGTGGCGCTCGTTCCTGCTCTTCCTCTCCTGCTCCAAATCGACGAGACCAATGTCGCTGACCTCGAAGATCTTCATTGGTACTGAATGGTGCTTGTTGGAGTTGATTGTCTTGAGCAGACCCGGTAGTAGCGATGTTCGGACGAGTTGGTATTCCGCTGTCTTGGGGTTCGCAAGCTTCACTGCTGTCTTTCCGTCGTCTTTCCGGTTCAGCCACTCGAAGTTCTCCTCATGCGAGCAGAGGATGAGAGGCATGACTTCGGTCCATCCCGATGACGCAGACTCGATCCGGACGATATCACCGAGCTTGTTGATGGGTAATGGCGCTGAGACAGCAGCAGTCTTGTTTGGGTACACTCGCGGCAGCTTGTTGAAGCCGTATGCGATGGCGTAATCTTCCATGATATCCGCTTGATGCAGTATGTCCGCTCTTGTAACAGGTACCGAAACGTCGAGGATGTTCTTGTCGGATTGAGACGGTGAGACGTCGTGGCCCATACGCGACAAGAGTTTCGAAATCTCCTCGGGTGACAAGGTGAGGCCAGTGACCTGGTTCAGGTAGTCCACCTCAACTTGCATTTGCCGCGGTGACAGATCTGGCGACTCTCTTGACTCTCCATTGTGGGGCGAGTTGATCTTGATAGGCTCGATCGACTCCGCGTATCCAGCGAACATGGTGACCATCATGTGGTTGACGATTTCAACCTTTGTCTTATCGGTCGCAGTGATCTCGATGAAGACGTTCTTTGTGTCCAGTGTGACCTTGCTGTGATTGCTGTTGATGATGGGCGGAAGGGAGAGAACGGTACGGTTCGCATCGTAGATTACGGGGTATACAGGCGAGTCGCGAATGATGTGCAGGAAGCGTCCCAGGTGCTTGTCTTTCTACTCAGGGTCAGAATGGTGCTACAAATGGGCATCTTATGTTTACTGACCTCGTAGAACTCCATGAGCTCCTTTGCGTTCATTTCCTTGTCCTGCTTCAGGGGCACGAACTTGATCTGCTCTGGCGGTAGTGCTTCGTATGAGAAGGGGCCCTGAATCGTATCCAAGTCGTGTGTTCCGATGGATACAAGTGTCCGTTGACGTGCCAGATTGGAGTGTAGTTTGTCTTGTAACGCGATGAAGGAGTCGTATCGTTCTTGTGTGAATTTGATACCTCGTAGTATGACACCTGAGCAGAGTTCTCGTATTTGCTTGGTCTATAGAGCGACTAGTCAGCACAACTTCGCTACCGCTTTCCAGACATTCGGCATACCTCAGGCTTGATGTCGAGCACCTGCAGCTCTCCTCCCTTGGGCGCAGTAACAGTCCACTTGGGCAGCTTCTGTTTCTCAAGGAAGACCTTGAGGTTCATGGCGATACCCTCGAAACATAGCATGTCATAGCGATTTGCGGGAATCTCAATCTTGAGTTGTGGTGGTTGCGCCTGGTCTTCTGGCTTGGTGCTCAGGCTTGTGTCCTCGTCCAACTCGATACCGAATTCGAAGCATAGGTCGTCGAACTCCTGGTAGGTATATTCCCGACCTAGCTCCTTGAAGAGGGCCGCCTTATCCACACCGATGGTAGGCATTTTGGCGGTTTGTCTGCTCTCTTGGGGGGTTTCGCGTGGTTCTCGTGTGCGATGGTGGGGTATTTGGAGGGGTAAGTTGGGAGGAAGGAGCGACTGGCGGGGTGTGGAGAATGTCGCAGTACTCGTATACGAAGGTAGCCGTAATACAGGAAGCTGCTGTCGTCTTTTAGTCGCTCAATGGACCGGCTGAGTGAGAGGTGCGGCTGCGTAAATAATTTGGTATGACTCCAAGCCTCGAGCGCAGCAATCGGCGCCGGGAGCTGCGTCGGACCGGACCTTGGCGCTAGGCCGTTTTGGATGCGCGTCGAAGTTCTGCAGATAGAACTTTATAAACAGCTCATGCAAGATGAAGCATCGCTCTTTTGAAACTGGATGAACGATTTGCTTTCCGGCCTAATAGTGGCTAACGAACTACCTAGTCCTCCATCCTATCTTCACGATCACAGAGTGCTTGATATCGTGCATAGAGTCTTCATATATGCAATCTTGACATTCAGTCGTACCTAAATCTTGTTTCTGCAAAGGCCGCTGTATACGACATGAGCCCTTCAAACGCCGTTAATGCCCCTGATGTCCACCAGGCACCTTTACCTAACTAGGCGTAATCCTCCTTCAATCAAGCAACTCTCAAGGCTATCGACAAAGTTGCAGTCCCTGCTCCAGATCCAAAGTTTTGTTTCCGCGTACAGCTGTTCTCGGGAAAGGTAATCTTGGTCCGATGGCCAGCATGTGACCAAGTGTATGAATAGAAGGTACAGTCTGAGCCGCTCGAGGCTAGTGAGAAAGTGTGGGTTCCACAACATCGTGCCTCGTCATGTTCGAAGGCAAGTTCGCAGCGAGTCGCGTCGAAGTTGGCAATCGGATCGTAGCGCGTTTAATCCTGCCAGTCCCACACTTTTTTGAGGAAGTGTGCCATGTTGACCTTTTTCGATTTCATTTCGACCATCCACGGGTGTTCAAGCATTCGCCAGGGGGTGGCTCTGCGAGGACAGTCCTTCTCAAGACTGTAAAGGTTAGCAGGGATTCACTTTTATGCAAGAGGGTTACATACCAGCACTCGATGAAGTACTTGAAGTTCTCTGACCACTTGATGCCACTTTCGGGCTCATCCTTGAGCTTGGGAATGGGTTGCCGAACGATGTAGGTGAGTAAATCAATAAGACCAGCGCGGGGGTTCATCTCGGTTCCATCGGCAGGGAACGGGAAGCGATGCTGCGCGACTTCGAGTAGAGTAACACCTAGACTCCATACATCACTGGTGATCGTATAGCTTTGGCCAGTGATGCGCTCGGGTGCCATGTAGTATGACGTTCCAATGAAAGTGTTGGCGTCTCCCTTGGTTCCGAACTCTCCGGATACACCAAAATCGCAGAGCTTGACCTGGCCATTTCGGCATAATAGGATGTTGCTCGGCTTGATGTCCCGGTGTATGATGCGATGAGAGTGGAGGTAGGTCAGTCCATTCAGCACACCCTCGGCCACCTTGCCAAGGACCTTTTCGCCTGTTCGGCCTCCAAGCTTCTTGACCTCGCGGTATACTGCATCGAGCGATCCGCCTTCGCAGAATTCCATAGCGATGCTGATGGTCCCTGTGCTGTCATCCATGAAGGCACCGTAGTAGCGGCAGATGTGGTCACTGGCGCAGTTCTTATTGAAAGACAATTCTCGTACGATTTGCTTCTTGACATCGGGATCGGGGTTCGTTGTGATGATCTGAAATACGGGTCAGTTGAGTCTCAGACGGCATTGGAGACCATGCATACCTTTAACGCAAATGTCGTCTTTCCGCCCTTTAGTATGCATTTTGTGACAGCGCCACCAGCGCCCTCTCCTAAACTGCCTTTCTCCTCAATCATGCCTCGTGCGCTCGCCGCTCTCCAGGCTGCGTCATCTAGGTCGTCCACTTCCAATGGCCGACCCTTCTCTATAGCCATGGCATCTAGATCTGGTAGAGGCTGACTGCTGTTTGCACGCTCCATGGAAGGCGCGCCCTCACTTCCTCCTTGTGATATTGCCGAAATGGGATCTGTGGCCTTTTGCACCCCCATAAAACCCAGTGCCGCATGGTATGATGAAGCAGAGCCATTTGCTTGCACCTCGCCAAAGCTACCCGATCTTGAGTGTGCACTCGCGTCGCTCGAGCCTGATGCTGACAGTCCTTGCCCTGGCGTTATAAGCGGCGGGAGAGCTCGTGCGTTTCGTCCTTCCTGTGGTGCATTGCTGGAACCCATGGGAGTAACGACGCTTAGCTTCGGCCCATGACGGGGCTGAGGCGCGTTCAGGGTCGGTATGCCGCCGCCTGCGCCGTTGGTGACAGGTCGTGCGTTCGGTGATG